TCTTCCCTCCCAGCCCTTCATTCCTTTCTCTCTAATCCTTCCTTCCCAATCCTTCTTCTCTCCCTCCCCTTCCTAATCCTTCCCTCCCTCCCTCCCCCTTCCTTCCTTTCCCCTTCCTTCCTTCCTTCCTTCCTTCCTTCCTTCCTTCCTTCCTTCCTTCCTTCCTTCCTTCCTTCCTTCCTTCCTTCCTTCTTTCCTTCTTTCCTCTCTAACCCTTCCCTTCCTTTCTTCTTTCCCTCCCTCCTGTTCCCTTTTTCCTCTCTAATCCTTCCTTCTCCCCCTCCCCTCCTCTACCTCCCCCACTCTCTATTTTCCCTCCCTCTCTAACTTGGACCCATGACCGCAATGGAGATACGATATCAGCAGATCTCTGAAAAGAACCTCTGGGAGGGTAAAAATGTATTTCTGCTGATGGCCCCATAAGGTTGATTCACGTGGCTTTGAAAGGCCAGCTTGGGCGGCTGCCTTCACACACACACACACCCTTCCTCTCCCCCAATTGCAGGGAGGCAGCGTCTTCAGCATCATCACCCGGGTTGAAGTGACCCCTTCGCAGACCCAAATGACCTGTCCGGAGGTAAGAACCGTTGGAGGAGCTAAGCAAGAAGCCATCCCTTGGGAGAAGCGGGCTGGGCTCTAAACCAGGGGTCGCCAAACTTTTGGGCCTCAGGGACCACCAAACTCATCATTTTAAATCCCGCGGTCCAAACACCCTGGGAAAATCCCCCAAAAAGTCTGCAGGAAAATCCCCCACCCCGTTTTCCTACCGGTCGATCGTTCTTTATTTGGGATCGCAGGATACCGTCTCCAGTTCCGTTCTCACGGGAAGAGAGAGAGAGAGAGAGACTTTTGGCTCCATGCAAGGAAAGCAGCAGAAGCAGCAAAAGTCTTTCTTTCTCTCCCCCAAACTCTGCCAGAAATGAGTCTTTGTGAGACTTGTCGTGCTGATGCAGCCTCTTGGAGCAGGAGGCCTTGCAGGGTCCCAAAGACTCATTTCTGGCGGAGTTTGGGGGAGAGAAAGAAAGACTTCGGCTGCTTTCCTTGCGTGCAGCCAAAAGCAGAAGAAAGAAGCAGCCCGGTTGGCCAGGCCAGGCACATGGAGCAAGTTTCCCCCCTCCACCCTTTCCCCCCCTCCCCTCACTACCTCGTGAGCTGGTAGAATCCCACCCCTGCCGACAATCAGCTGGTTGGCGGGAGGCGTGCACACATGCCCAGCGGATCTGTTCTGGGCGACGGCTCACGTGCTAGCAGAAATGGCTCTGCGTGCCACTTCCAACATGCATGCCGTAGGTGCACCATCACGGGTTTCTACTCTTGGTTAAATAATGTCCCGGGAGTTTCTTTTCCTGGATTCGCCAACTGGACGGTGGACCGTCTTGGCATCTTGACTGACCACTAACCCCTCTCCTGTTTTCTTGTCTTGTGCAGAACACGAGGGCTTCCTGCACTTCGGACAACGAATGTGCCCTGGGTGAGGTGGAGGTGCTGGGGAACGGTGAGTAAGGGGTAACACTCAGGGGTGGGATTCAACCGGGGTAACTACAGGTTCGGTCAACGTGCGCAATGAGCCGTGCCGGACGAATCAGCTGGGCTGCAAAACAGGGAAATATAGGACAGACTACGACAGGGGCAGATGGCGGAACTACCAGCTTGCCCGAACCGATCTGAACTGGCTGAATCCCGTCCCTGGATAACCTCTTCTCATGTCCACGACACTCAGTAGGCACCATGTCAGATTGGAAATTCAGCCGCCACATTTAATGGGGGTGGGTGGGGGGTGGAGGAGTTGAAAAGTTCAAGGTTATTCTGCACGTTGCACTAAGAAATTCCAGTTGCAGTGAATTGGTTCTCGTGATTGATGAAGGGTAGAAGTGGGAGAAGGTGGATTCTGTGTAACGCTTGCAAAAATACTTTCACTTTGGGGAAATTGCCTTAGACGTACCAGATCTGTTCCTAAATAGATCAATTGGAGAGAATATGTCTCGGAGTGATTGATATCATGGATACTTTCTTGATGCCTTACGCACCAGTTTGCCCTTCCTTTGTGTACGGAGACAACAATACCCTAAAGCAGGGGTTGCCAACCTTTTGGACCTCAGAGACCACCAAACTCATAATTTCAAATCCCACGGACCCCTAATATGAATTTTAACTGACGGTGGCTTGCTGACGTTGGTGGGGAAAGTCGGTCCCATATTCCAGAGCTGCCGTCCAGGCTGGTCCTTTGGTCATCCCCGAGCAGCTGCTCCTCCAGTCCATGGCAGGCCGGTGCACCCGGATGGAGGAGCAGCTGCTCCGGGATGACCAAAGGGCCAGTCCTGTGACTAGGGCAGCTCTGAAATATGGGACCGACTTTCCCATCGACGTCAGCAAGCCACCCCGGGGCGGATTTCCCTCCCCCGCCGTTGGTCTTACCTTCCAGTTCCAGCTCGTGTGGCTCTACTCAAGGTAAGGTTTGCGCTTGGCCGAAGGGTGGGGATCAATAGGTGGGCGGGCCATGTGGGCGGCACAGCCTTGTGTTCCTGCGCAGCCTGGATAAATTGCTTTTGGGGGCAATTCTCTGCGGACCACCAAAATTTTCTCATGGACAGCCCACTGGTTGGTGACCACTGCCCTAAAGCATAAAAGCAGAGGCAAAGGGGAGATTTGCTCTTTTTGTCATCGTTGTTGTTCTGCAGGACTGAAGACGGGGCATTGCGTCCCCTACAACTTCACCAAGAAGACCTGCCAAGTTATGGCCTGGTGTCCTGTGGAGAACGGGGCGACATTCAGGTAATAAGGGATGAGGAAAAGGCTCCCTTCGTTCCTCTTCCTCGCTGCTGCCAGACTCCGGAGACTCCGAGGCAGCACCCCACTCTGATATGGTCCTGGCCCCATCTCTGCATCAAATGCAGGACCCTCATCCGAGTCCTCCCCAGATTCCCAGACTGGTCCCTGTTTGTCCCCATTGTCCGATTCTGCTGCCATCTGCTCCGGCTGCCGGCGAATCACAACAGCCAGGCTGTAATCATATGTAGAGAGTTAGGAAGAAAAGCATTTCTGCACTTGGACTTGGGCAAAAAAATGCAGATTTCTGGTCCCCTGCCAGCTTTGCCTCCATCTTAATGTGGCTTTTTTTTTTTTTGACTTCCTAGTGAGAGTTTGGCAGCAATGGCGCCAGAGTTCACCGTCCTGATCAAGAACAGCATTCATTTCCCTCGCTTTCATTTTTCCAAGTAAGGACGTAGCGGACGATCGCTTAAACCTGAGCCAGTTGTGTGCGGCGGCAGCCAAGAAAGCTAATACGATCCTGAGGCATAGAAGCATAGAATCAAAATCACGTGAAGTATTAGTACTTTTGTAAATCCTTAGTGAGGCTACAGCTGGAATTACTGCATCTGGTTTTGGTCCCCACCTTACAAAAAAAGAGGTTGAGACTTTGGAAAAAGTGAAGAGCAACTAAGACCATTAAAGGCCTGGAGACAAAAATATATGAAAAACGGTTGCAGGAACACTGCATGGCTACTTTAGAGAAAGGAAGGACTGGGGGTGACATGATAGCAGTGTTCAAGTATTTGAGGGGCTGCACAGAGAAGGGGGAGGTCAAATTATTATCCAAAGCACCAGAAGGCAAGGAACAATGGATGGAAATTATTCAAGGAGGGAAGCAACCTGGAATTAAGAAGAAACTTCCTTAACAGTGAGGATAATTAACAAGTGGAACAGCTTGCCACCAGAAGTAGTGGGTGCTTCATAACACTGGAGATTTTTTAAGAAGAGGCTGGATAGCCACTACTTATCTGAAATGGTGAATAGAATAGAATAGAATGTAGAATAGAATATAGAATATAGAATGGAATTCTTTATTGGCCAAGTGTGATTGGACACACAAGGAATTTGCCTTTGCATTTGGTGCAAATGCTCTCAGTGTACATAAAAGAAAAGATACATTCATCAAGAGTCAAGAATCATAAGGTACAATAGAATATAGAATAGAATAGAATATAGAATGGAATGGAATGGAATGGAATGGAATGGAATAGAATAGAATAGAATAGAATAGAATAGAATAGAATAGAATAGA